GGAAACCCTGCCTTTGTGAGCAGTGGTGCTGATCGCAGCTCTCGGAGCTGTGGAGGGACAGTCCTGCCTGATGTAGATCACCGCATCCCTTTCTGCCTTGCGTGTTTTAAAAGACATAAGTCTTTTTCAAAGACACCAGGATTGCAGTAGCCATAATCCTGCAGGACCAGCCCTTGCGTAGCTCCACAGCTGTGCTGCCGTCTTTGCACTTGCTCCCTCTGGAATGATGTCCTGGTCCAAAATTTGGGCTATTTACTGAGCCAGAGGACTGAAAGAGCTGCGATAAGTGTTACCTTCCTTCCAGTGCCATAAATGGATTTGGAAACACAGGGGAAGTTTGTGGTAGTTATGCTTCCAACTTCCATATCCTTGCAGCTCTTACGACTTGCCTGTTGCATTTAGGCACTGTGCTTTTCACTCTGCGTTTTCAGAAGAGATACTTGTACCCTTCCACATGCTCTCAGTGGGAAGCATCAGTATTTTTTTCATTTGTGCGAGTTTCTGGTTGTGCTCCCTCCTCGACGCCACACTTCTCTTGATTAGGTCTTTTCCCTTACTCTCTTTTTCTTACCCCACTCACCTTTTGGACCCTGGTTTATCTTGTTCACTCGGTGCTCACTTAGGAGAGCTCACCACTGCAGAGCTTCTCCTCCCTCCCTTCAGCTGCTTTATTTACTGCCTCTCATTGCCAGAGTTGTCCCACCTTAGGATGCCCTCCATGCTCACTCCACCTGCCTTGGGCACGGGTGTATTTTAAACTTGCAGAAGAACCTCTGGCTTTCTTTTCTTCCACTGGCTCTTTGGAAGGACTTGGCTAATCATCCTTATTCCATCAGGATCACCTAAGTGCTTTATTCTGTCTTGACCGGGACACTCGAAATACAGGCAAACACAGAGTTTTCAGGGAACTTTGTCATCTCTCAATGCTGTAGGACTTGGTGATTTTCGCTGAGTGGCCTTTGAGAGGATCTAGATCGCAGTAAGGCTGTCATTGCATTTCTCCTGCCCAGGTGAAGTTTAAATGCTTCCTAGAGTGCCCTGGTGCAGAGGGAGAGCACTCCTCTGGCCATGAACGTCCGATCGGGGCATTATTTGAACTCCTACTGTTTATATGTTTAGGGCTGAGCAGCCTCACACACACTCAAAGTGTCCCTTCCCTGAAATTCCCTGGAATTCCCTCTCTCTAACAATCTACGTGTGATGTTCAGTTGTGATTTCACAGCGCAGCGTTCTGTAGCAGCAGCAGCAACATGAGGGATTAGGGCTTTGCCTGTGCAGTCCCTGGTCCTACTCCAGCTTCTTCATTTCTACAGCGTTTGCAAGTTGTGCTGTGAACTACAAAGGAGTTTGGAGTTCAGAGAACTTTGGGACAAGCGACATACACCATGCACCTACGCGCTGGCCGTATTCCAGGCCTGCTTTGTGTCTTGCTTCACCAGATACACCTTCAAATCACATGTAGCCTTTGTATCGGTTCAGATGATAAATAATGTTGATTTTATTGTAAATGAGTTAACAACAGACAGTGTCAATGGATGTAGCACATCAGGTACAGCCTAGGTTCTGGAAAAGAAAATACCAGAAGGAAGAACTGCAAGCCCCAACAGCGGATGTGTATGCAGCGAGATCAGGAACAGATGCTGAGGGAGGCTGCAGAAATGGAACACGGCTTTCTTTTGTTGCCTCTATCTGCTTTTCTGCAATGGAGGAAAAAAGCACGATGCATTTCACGTAGTCAATGTAACTCGACAGTCAAGTATGTTCATGACAGTACAGTACAAGCAAACCCACGAGCACACGGCTCTTCAGCCTCCACATGCAGGACAGCTCTGACGTGTACACTCAATTCCTGTAGCAGCAATTACCAGTATAATTACTGGCTCTGTCCTTTGGCAAATTGGGACCTTCCCGAGGAGTATTTTGAAGCGTGCCCAGCGTTGCATTGGGTGTGCTTCCACACGTACAGCACAGCCCATGCTGCCCACAGAGGTTACAGAGGACACTCAGTTCAATCTTCCACTCGTTCCTACTCCTCCTGCATTTTCACAACGATGGTATTTTCCAGTATTCAGATGGAAACAGCGCAGAGTGTTAGCAGAAGCAAATTAAGGAATTAATTCAGCTCACGGCAGCTATCGACATCACAGGCTAATGCCGTACAGGTCCTGGTATGCAGCTGACAAGGACGCGCTCCAGATAGCTTTTTCCTAAAGGAATGAGTTTGATGTGTGAGCACAGGTCACCTCCTGTTCTCAGTCACTTCAGCGGGAACCGGTCTGACTGCAGTCATCATAGAACAAGTGGGTACTAAGAAAGTGACTTTCAAAACCGCATTTAAATTAAGACCTGAAGTTAAGAGTAAAGAGCAGTGTCTGCAGAACGTCGTTTTTGCATAAACGCATTATGTGGGTCCAAGGGCAGTATTAAATTATTCGGAATGACATCTTCCTCCGGAAATTACCCCTAATAAGTGTTCAATATGGGAGTAAGGGGTGAAAGTTCACAGAAGCTTTTGAAATAAACTGCTTGCTTCCAAAACAGACTGCAGAGCAACAGTTACACAGCCTGCTGCGTGACAGGATGAAGCTCGTGTGGTTTCCCTTCTGGTTGGATCAAACCTGAAAGGCTCCAGCTTACCCTGTGCTCTGTCGGAAGACGGCAAGGAGTGTTCTCACAGCAGTGCATGGTCTTGGAACCACTTCAGTCAGATTCCTCGTCTGCTGTGAGGACAAGAGCTCAGGCCTTGGAAAGTGAGGCCGGTTCTTTCTGCGTTACCCAAACGTTCCCAGCAGAGTAATATTCCTTAGTAAAAGCAGATGAATAGGCCTTGGGTATGCAACAACCGCAGTTCAGTTCCTAGTAAACAGCAACTACTGTCTGGGGGGCCTTAAAGATCTCAGATGTTTTAACTAAAAGGATTCCAGAAGTAAAACAGGAAAATGGTTTCATCACTCAAGTGATCAATGCCAGCAAAGGGTGGTTTTTTCCTCAGTTGGTTCAGGGCATCTCTAGCTACTGAAAAAGACTGAGGGCTTAAGTCTACTAAGGAACGTTTTCTTATACCTAAACAGCTAAAAATATCCAGAGTAGGTTAAACCCAAACTTAATCTGCTCCCTTCCAAGACCAAGAAGCCCGTTAGAAGAATTATCTTTCACAGACATCTCTTGCTGGGTGAGGAAATGCACAGGGATCCATCACGTGCTTTACGGTTAAAATAGAATCCATTTCTACGGCATCTCACATCCTCAGGGCAGATCACCTACGCTATCGAGCAGGCTTTCAGCACTCGCTGGGGAAGGAAGGTTACTGCCATTGGCAGCGTGGCCCTGTCTGTGGAAGGAAAAGGGAGCGCCGGGAGCCACTGCTGGGGGCTCTGATCTATAGGTACCAGTTGCTGCCTGGCCAGAGGAAAAAATGTGCGAGAACTGGAGGCTGATGACATTTTGTTCATTCTTTTTGGTGGCTGAGGCCTCCCACAAGCCACATGAAGAGTCCCAGATCAAAGCTGGAGGTGCACTGTCACTTTAATCTGGTACAGGCAGCAGTGCTGCTGAGTCACCCCTCCTTTATCTACCCTCATTTACTTATTCCTGTCCCTCCCTTATGCTGGAACAAGCATTCTTCTAGCGCTCTAGTACAGTGATCTGTATTAAAAACGACATGATTTCTTCAGTTGTGTTTACTGCAGCAGCACTGGTACTTGTGGCAGTGCAAGCACAGCGCCTTTTTGATAGCACTGCTGTTTATTCATGCTCGTGGAGTTACACCACAGTTCTACTTCTCACAAATTCAAAGTTCAGAACTGAACGCCCGAAAGGGTCAAAATTCTCCCACTACAGTTGTGTGCCACTGAGGAGGCTGCTTTCCATAATTTCACTAGTCCTGTGTCTGCAACATGTCAACAGTGTTTGCAATAACGTTAAAATAGGAACATATACATGGTTGTTCAAAAACTGCAAATTCATTCTGGCTTTCTGCATACCAATTTATGCAGGGAGGCCCGGAGCTGTCTGCATGGAACCCGGCCAAGAGCCTTTGTGCTAAAAAATGAAGTTTATAAAAAAGTACCTATCAGTGGTTCAACCTTGTCTTCGGGGCTGAAGAATACACTCATGCAGACTAGTGCCAGGTAGAGAGCACTCAGGACTCATTTAGGCGCCTCCCCGGCACCCCAGCTGCCAGGGGAGGCTGCAGTGCAGGTGCTGCAGCCATATCTGAGCTTTCACAGCATTACCTCTACATAGCTTGGGGGGCATCAGCCACTTATCCTTAATACAGAGCCCTCCTCCACCACAAATTGTCCCTTCCCCACACCCCACAAAGAACAGGAGCCACTATTTTTAGTTTCTGTAGCTCCACCTGCCCAACAAAGATGATGAGAGCTGTGCTGATGTCATCTCTGACGGCAGCAATCAACAACAGACCCTAAAGGTCGCTGCTGTTAAGCCAAGACGGCCATTTCAATTCAATACCACCCGGAACTGCAGGGAACAGATATGGTATTTACCTAGTCAGAAAAGGTCCTGGAGAAGACCCTGTTTTTCAGAGTAAGAAATAAATAAAAAAAATAAAGCCCAAGAGAACCGTTTCCATGATGTACTACAGGAATATTTTTATACATGAAAGATGCCACTAAGAAAACAGTTTTCACACATTTAATCCAAAATTTAAGTTCTTATAGAAAGTGGAAAATTTCTGAAGAAAGGAGTTTTACTATTAAACCCCTCACATTTTATATGCAAATGGAAAACTGTTAACCTTGTACCTCAATATTTATAAATGGAAAAATAATGGATCCATTTACCGCATTATTTCAGTACAGTATTCAGGCTGGAAGCACAGTGAAAAAGAACTCCTGCCTGCGCTATCCCATCAGCACAGGCCCCCCTTCCAGTCGAAGGACGGTAAGAACGTTCCTATCAGTCTGTTTTGGAAGCAATCAAAATGCACGTACATTTATACATGCAGAAGAACTTGGCAAGAACTGCTAAAACCAAACTGATGTTGTAGGGTTTAATTTCTTCCATCTACAAGAATCTACAAGGATAAAAGTCTCATCTTCAAACTTTACAGGACATTTACATCAGCAAATACCCCACAGCTTTCCTCACTCCTCCACTTCTGTACAAATCATACACAATAAAAAGTTTCAGTTTCGTTGTACAAACATCGTTTTACACTTTAATACAGATGAAAATATTGTTCCTCGGCACCTTGTTTCCTCCACGGTGCCCACGTTGTACAGTACAGAGCGCTTTCGATCCCCGGCTCCTGGCCACTCCAGCTCAAGTGATACGGACCGATTGACAGGCCACAGCTTCTGCAAAGCTTTAAATAATGAGAAAATCTGCCACTTGTTTGTATAACAATCAACAGTTTATTAATGGATATGGTGAAATTTTAGCTATCCACCAAAGATGTGTAAAAAATTGTCATGAAAGTAAAAATAAATAAAGCTGTTTTTAAAATCAGTCTTGTTTTACATCTCAGTTCAGAATGCAACATTTAACACAAAACTGTCATTGAAGTTTTAAAGAAGTCTACCGATATTCAAATTACAGCTTTTATGACAAATCTAATGAGAACTGAAACTGATTTGGTTTTAGGTTTAAAGACTTTCACATTCAAATACAGTGTCTCGTTTAGCACAATACTTCCTTTGACAGTGATGGGCAACAGTGATGACATATTGCTGTATTTTGACATAAGGCACTATGATATGAATATGCCATACACTTGCCTTATGTCACGTATATCCGTTGCTGACCAGTGACTTCTGTCAAATACAAAATGAAAAAGTTTCAGGATACAGTGCATTTTAATGAAGGACATCATGTGAAGTCTTCCAGCAAATGTTTTGAAGACATTTTGAAATACAAGCCTACATTTTAACATAAGCTTTTGTCATGCTGCTTTTTTTGCGACATCACTGGGGGGAATAGACTTGTCATCCATCACTAAGTCCCAATACACATTCTCAACCATCCTGCTCTGTTCTATGGCAGTCACTGTTCTCGAGACAAACTTGACCCAGAAACTTTGTTCAAGTTTTCCTACAAACGGGTTTACATTCACTGCAGTCATTCGCTTTCGTTCTCCTTTTGCTTGGCACCTGTTAACGGAAGAGGAAAGCACGCGTGAGTTCCTTACGCGCACAGCACTGGGCTTCTGCAAAAGCACTGCCCCTTCTGAAAGCTGGGACTTTGTCTGACCATGTTACCAGAATCTTAGCACTGGATACCGTTTATAAAGAATATACTACAGCATTGCTAAATGCAAACGTTAAACAGAGCAAGGAAGGCCTCGAGACTGGTCTTGCTTCTAATGTCACTGCCAAGGTAGCCCAAGTAACTCTTCTGGGAAGTCACTAAAAGTGGCTTTAAAGATTCTCCCCAGCACAAAAACTTACTTAAAAAAAAAAAAAAGCAGCAACTCCAACCAAAAAGCCACAGCCCAAACCTGTCCAGCAGCTTACATGCCAAGCTTAATCATCCTAATAGCCTCAGAAAATGAAGCCCTGCTTGAGAACAAACTATGTAAGAATTCAGTTTAACGACACTGTGTTGATGGACCCATTTTTCCTGGCTCAGAGGCAGATTCTGCTGACAGTAGGGATTGGAGGGACCTGTTCAG